TTATGATCTCTCCGTTAAACCAATTCTTTCGATTGTCTAAGCAGGAGCAGATTATGACGTTTTTGTGTAAGAGGATTTCTCAATCAGGGATTATAGCACAGACTCATAGAGGCGGTGGTCAGAGGTCAGGGACTGTGCTGGGTCAGGCAGTGGGAAGGGGTTGCAGTCACACAGGAGGTGAAGTTACAGAGATATATCAGGGAAGAGAGCACCTCAAGTCCTGCAGCCCATACTGCCTGGTGGGGGGATAGGGAGGAGGTACCACAGAGCAGGTGTGAAGCTTGGGAAGAAGTGGGATGTAGCAATGGTGCTTATAAGGGACAGCTGTCATTCGTTTTTATTACTATATGTCACAGACTCATTTTTGATTCTTGCCAGAAACAAAGAGACACATTTTCTCAGTGAGGCAGGCCACCACTGGTCCTAATCCCTCCTTAAGGAATTGGCTCATTAGTGGCTCCAGGAGATAGCTGCCGTGGTCTAGGAATGTGAGAGGGGGACTGTGTGAAGGAGAACATTCCCCCCAAGACCTTTTTCCCTCCCCAGCAGTTGTCTTTGGCCAGTCATGTAGTGATGAGGTCATGCACTTGATTCTGACCAAAATAAGTTATTATTATCTTCACTCTTGTAGAAGTAGCCACCAACGGCTGGGCATTCTCCACACACCAGGCGAGGAGTGAGTGTTCAGGCCTGGTCTTTCCCAGCCCTCACAGCCATCCTACCCTCCCCGGTGGGTATTCCCTCCTTTTTACAAAGGACAAAACAGACTTAGTAACTTTTCTCTATCACACAGCCAGCAGGTGGTAAAGTTGGAATTCAAACTCATGTCCACCTGACCCCAGGATTATGAAGAATTGTATGGTTCTGCCTCAGTCCCCAAGAGCATCTTATCCACCTCCAAAGAGGGGAACTGACCCCCACCCCACAAAAAAGGGGAAATTGAAAGTGGTGAGGGTACTTTTGTTTTTGTTTTCTTCCTTTTTAATAAGCCTGCAAGGGAAGTTAAATTGAACATTTGGGGATCCTCTTAAATATGTAAGGCCCTTAAAACATTTTAATTACACAAATGATACATGCTCATGGCCCCATTGGAGGAAAATCAGAAAAGAGAAAAAAAAGGAAAAATTAAAGTGGGCCCTGATTCCACTAATCAGAGGTAATCATTAACGTAGTGATATCCTTCCATAAACAAAATGGGATCATACTATTAATATTATTATTATTATAATGTTATTATTAGTTTACTCTTCAGCACAATAGACCTCATCCTATATCAATGACTATGGGTCTCATCGTTATCTTTATCGGCTGCAAGATAACAATAAGCATATTGATTATGTAATGGTGGATCGTGTTCATCCTCTGCTCCCGTCTCATTCAGAACCTATTTGGGGCACTTGGCTGGCTCAGTCAGTAGAACATGCGACTCTTGATCTCAGGGTGATGAGTGCAAGCCCCATACTGGATGTGGAGCCTACTTAACAAAACAAAACAAAACAAAATTAAAATCATTCAGAACCTGTTTTTTTTTTTTTTTCCTTAAAGATTTATTTACTTGAGAGCACGCAAGAATGTGGGCATGGGGATAGGTAGGGACAAAGGGAGAGAGAGAGAAGATCATGGAGCAGACTCCCTGCTGAGCAGGGAGCTCGAGTTGGGGCTCAATCTCATGACCCTGAAATCATGACCTGAGCCAAAATTAAGAGTGGGACATTTAACTAACTGAGCCACCCAGGTGCCCCACAGAACCTGTTTTTTTTTTATTTCACCAGTAAAATGAACAATTCAGAGGATGGTTTACCAGATTAAATAATGTGACATTTGTAAAACTTAGCACAATGCCTGACATTAAGTTCTCAGCCAAGTAAGATTAGCCATTACTATTCAATAATTTCTACCATTTATTAAGTGCTTACTTTGTGCCAGATATCATGCTAGGGGTTCACTTAATCCTGCCACCAAACCAATGAGATAAACACTGTTATTCCCATTTTTCTGATGAGGTGAGTGAGTAACCAAGAGGCTAAATATCTTACCCAAAGCTACCCAGCCAGGAAGTGATGGAGATCCAAACCCAGGAAACGAGAATCAGGGCTCACATACTTCCCACTATACCACCTTCTGCCTCAGAGACACAAAAATATTCCCCAGGCATTTCCTCTGTGCTAGCACTGTCCTCAGCCCCTGAATTCTGTACTAGTTGTTGTGCATGCTTCTAAGGGTGGACATGAGACAAGATAGTAGCCGATCCCACCAAGGCCTCATTAGAGTGACTCTCAAGATCTTAACTGGTTATGTCATTGCACCTGTCTTCATTTTACTGAGTGTGGGGTGAGGGGTGTAAAGAAACACCTTCCTGTGGGGCGCCTGGGGGCTCAGGGGGTTAAGCCTCTTCCTTTGGCTCGCGTCATGATCTTAGGGTCCTGGGATCAAGCCCTGCATCGGGCTCTCTGCTCAGCGGGGAGCCTGCTTCCCCTCTCTGTCTCTGCCTGTTTCTCTGCCTACTTGTGATCTCGCTCTCTCTGTCAAATAAATAAAATCTTAGAAAGAAAGAAAGAAAGAAAAGAAAAGAAAAGAAAAGAAAAGAAAAGAAAAAAGAAAGAAACAACCCCTGCCCTGGGAGATCATGAACATAACTTGATTATCCTGGGTTGTAACAGTCTGTCCTCATGGTGACCTATAATACTGTGAGTTTAATGTGTACAAAGTTGAGCTGATACACTCAGGTATTCCAAAATGACTACCGTAGTGGCTTAGTTTACACTTCCATCACCTCCACAATTGCCATTTCTTTTTTGTGGTGAAGACATTTAAGATCCTCCCTTCTTAGGCTTCTCACCCATCCCCCAACCTCCTCACTCTGGGAGCCTGACGGCCTTTCGGTTGCTATTGCCTCAACAAGTTTCACACCGCTTACTCTGCTGCCATAGCTTCTCCAAACAGCCGAGGTGTTGGCCATTGTCCCTGAGTCTGAGAGCCAGAAGTTTCCAACACTGTGCGGGGGCGGGGGGGAGGGGGTCCTGGAATGAGACCTAAAATAGAACCCAGCAGATTCAGGGACCATGGCAGATGCCCTGTTCATCATGAGTATGAGTAAATGCTGGTGTTTAACAAGTGTATCACCATATTCCTGAAGACACTAATAAACGGAGAGCAGGGGACCTGCCTGAGTCTGGCAAGACAAGCTCCTCTCTGAATTTCAGGGTGTCCTTCTGTTAACTGAGCACCACAAAATGTTCTGATATGTGCCACAAAGTAGGAGCTCGATACATAGGAACTGAATGAATGAATCAATTCTTTCGATAAATGAGTAGATCTAACACTGGGAGTCTCCCGCACAGCCAGACCTTTCATTTCCAGTAGCCTGATTAGCCTGTTTAGTCCACCCGGCGGTGGCCGCGCCTGGGGGCGGTCTTTCCGTGGGGGGAGGCGGAGTCCGGATACGACTGGGCGGGGCGCGACGGGCACGCGAAGGGCCCCAGCCGGAGAGAGCAGTCTCTGGAGGGCGGATTCTGGAGAGCAGGACAGGGCATGGCAAGGCAGGGCAGACTCAGGAGTGCAGGGCAGACTCGGGAGAGCAGGACAGGGCAGACTCGGGAGGGCAGGGTAGGGCAGAGCAGACTCCGGAAGGCAGAGCAGACTCGGGAGGGCAGGGCAGGGCCGCACTATCCTGCAGGTGAGACCCTGCTTCAGAGCTTGGGGTGGGGGGTTGGGGTTTCCCCCCTCAAGGTGCGCGGAATGTGTTTACATCAAACAGAAAGCTTACAGTTTGTGTCACTGGGAGTTAATAGCCAAGGTCTGAAAGTGAGGACTCATGGATGTGAGGCCCCAATTTAGGGCTGTCCTGGAGCAAGCCCCTCTTTCATTAGGAATAACGGCTTACTGTAAGTGAATTCTAAACACTCCCAACGGACTAACTCATTTAACCCTCATAACAACTGTATGAGTCACCTGCTAAGATCATCCCTATTTCACAGATGAGAAAACTGAGGCTCAGAAACATGGAGGTATCTCCCCAACATCCAGCCACATGAAGAGGCGCTTGGGTCCAGGTCTGATTCTACAACCCCAGCTCTCCCCAGTGATGTGGGAAACAAAGGCAGAAGAAAAATTATTAAATTTCCTTACTACTCAAAGCCCACTGACAAGTCTTTAAAACAGGTAGAGTGACATTTCTCTAGGGACTCAATTGCCTCAATGTTAATACTTTGCTAAAGGCAAAAGGCAATCTTAGCCCTATCCCCAGGATCCTGTAAGTCTACTTTAACGTATAGAAATTTCTTTGGAGGGGCGCCTGGGTGGCTCAGGGGGTTAAAGTCTCTGCCTTCGGCTCAGGTCATGATCCCAGAGTCCTGGGATCGAGCCCCGCATCGGGCTCTCTGCTCGGCGGGGAGTCTGCTTCCTCCTCTCTCTCTGCCTGCCTCTCTGTCTACTTGTGATCTCTATCTGTCAACTAAATGAATAAAAAATTTAAAAAAAAAAAAAAAAAAAAAAGAAATTTCTTTGGAAACTTCCTTTATCTCTACCTACCCCCCTCCAAGATGCGGGTTGGTAATCATTGCCCAAGCATACTGCTCACTATATACAGCTGAAGAGTCTCATGACTAAGGTTTTATTAGACAAAAAATGACCTTTTCCCCATAATATCTAGCCCCCTCAAGGTCCTGGTAACCTTGCTTCCAAAATTCTTTTTTTTTTTTTTAAGATTTTATTTATTTATTTGACAGACAGAGATCACAAGCAGGCAGAGAAGCAGGCAGAGAGGGAGGAGGAAGCAGGATCCCTGCTGATCAGGGAGCCTTATGCGGGGCTCCATCCCAGGACCCTGGGATAATGACCTGAGCTGAAGGCAGAGGCTTTAAACCACTGAGCCACCCAGGTGCCCCGCTTCCAAAATTCTTTAGAGATTTATGCTACCCCTGACCCCCTCCAAACTTGAAAGTTTATCATCAGCCGTTCCTCACAACTCCAGTGCAGCTCTTTCTGTCCATGGGTCCTGTCCTTGTGCTTTAATAAAATCACCTTTTTGCACCAAAGACATCTCAAGAATTCTTTCTTGGCTCTTGGCTTGGAGCCCCAACCTTTTCCCTACATCACCCAGAAGGACTAAAAAAGTGGGGGAAAGTTTTGCAAGACCAGGTTGTTGGTTCTCACGATCTCCAAACATTGTTGCACCTCAAAATCTTTGGTTGGGCGGGAGGAGGGGAGTGCTTGCTTTAAAACCTGGACCTATCGCTGCCTGGTTTCATAGGACTGTGATGGATCACAAAAATTTCCATTTTGAACAAGCTTCTCTGATTTTGAAGGAGCAAGTCAGCGGACTGCGTTTGGATCATCATGAATGCCCAAAGCATCCAACAACTAACATTTCACAGCTAAATCACCTCAGGGGAGGGTAAGAAGAGGCAAAGAAAGAGTTTGGAATAAGATACTCTGGTGAGCCTATTTTTAAAACACTAGTAGGTCTCTAATGCAGGCCCTAGAGAAGTATGCCTCTTCTCCCCAGCGGTGCCAACTCTTCGTGGGTCCTAGCGGGACCCCAGAAGCCCCACAGCCCTGAAATGGCCCCCTTGGAATGAGGCGCTGCCATCCCACCCCAAGTCTCAGGGGGCGCCACTCAGTCTCGCTCCGACGGGAAGGGGGCTCCGCTTCCTTTCTACGCTTGCGCGGCAAGGAAGCCCTCACTTCCGGCCTTGCGCGTTCAGGGCCCGAACCTAACGGGCGCGAAAGGTGAGTAGAGGGTGATGTTTTGTCCGAGGGAGAAGCTCTCCGCCCTGCGGATCCTTCCCCCACGTTCTGGGAACATCTCTTTGCGTGACTTCCGACTCGGCATTCTTGTCCTGCTCGAATCTTCCTCCCACAGTCAGCCTCGAGGTCCCAGTGCCGCCCTCTTCCCATGGCCCCTCTGGTCAGGCAGGCACTCCCCAAGCTTGCCTTACTGTGTAACACTCAGACCCTTCGCTTCCCCGATTCTCCTCCTTCAGTCACCTCCTCCCGAGGCTACCTCCCTCAGAGTCCCTGTGCAGCGATGGGGAGGAGTGTCTTGGGTGGAGAGCAGGCCCTGGTACCCAACTGAGCACCCTCCCCCTCCTTCCCACGCCTCTCTTTGCAGAAGGTCAGCATGAAGTTCAACCCCTTGGTTACCTTGGACCGCAGCAAAAACCGCAAACGCCACTTCAGTGCGCCCTCGCACGTGCGCAGGAAGATCATGTCTTCCCCACTCTCCAAGGAGCTGCGGCAGAAGTACAACGTCCGCTCTGTGCCCATCCGCAAGGACGACGACGTCCAGGTTGGTCTCCCTCAGGCTCTCGTTACCCAGCTGCATGTCGCTCTGGTGCCGCCTGAGAATGTCATGTGTCCTAGGACGTAGGGAAGTTGTAGACTCTTCATGCCCTCTGGACCCTGGCAATTAATGTTACCCGGCAGATGTATCCGACCGGAGATGGAGCCCACAGCCACCAGTGTGCCTACCCGGCTTAACTTAGAGCTTTCAGATGCAATCCCTTAATAATAATGACTGTTCTAAAAAGATTTTATTTATTTATTTGACAGATCACAAGCAGGCAGAGAGGCAGGCAGAGAGAGGAAGGGAAGCAGGCTCCCTGCTGAGCAGAGAGCCCAACGCTGGGCTCCATCCCAGGACCCTGGGATCATGACCCCAGCCGAAGGCAGAGGCTTTAACCCACTGAGCCACCCAGGCGTCCCAATAATAATGACCGTTTAAGAAAAGTCGTATACTAGCCAAGCAAAACTTTGCTTTTCCATTTAGTCCCCTGGCTGCAAGTTTCCCAGGCATTGCTCAGGGTGGCTCTTGGAACCAGATTCTCCAGGAGAAAGTGCCATGATAAGAGTAATGTTTCCTTAGTATTGGGTTTAGCAGGGGCTGGGCATTGGGTGGTACTGGATTTGGCAGAGAGACTAGGGAAGCAGCAAGTTGGAGGCATGAACTTATGAAAGAGAATAATCCTTGTGAGAAAGTGAAGCTGTCTTGTTCTTCCTAGAGCTTCGGATGTGTGGTAAGAAAGAGAGAGTGAGGGATGACTAAAATAGAGGGGGTAGATTAACTCCTTGAAATAGTATTTAAGGGACCAGGCACTGTTCTAGACACTAGCAGTAAGCAGGACTGACTAGGCACCTGTCGACATGGAGCTCAACATTTTAGAGCAGGGATTCCCAGCCTCAGCACTGTTGGAATCTTGGATAGGAGAGTTCTCTGTTGTGGGAAGCTTTCCTGTGCATGGTGGGATGTTTAGCTGCATCCCTGACCTCTCCCCACTAGATGCCGGTAGTACCTCCTCACATTTGTGACAAACAAAAATATTTCCAGGTGTTGTCAAATGTCCCTGGGGGCCAAATTCACCCGTCCCCTTCCCCTAATTGAGAACCATTGTTTTAGAGAATGAAATGGGGGTAAGACTAAGGGACTTGGGGTATCTTCCAGGGCACTGGGATGCTTTGAAGCTTCGAGGAACATTTTGAGGAGAAGCTTGAAACCAGGGGATAATTTGGCCTGAGGGAATGACAGGAATAGAGTGGGAAGAATAGTTGAGAGGTATGCTCAACAGTTGCAACTTCTCTTCTGGGTCCTTCCCATCAGACATGTTCTAGAATGGGGGAATTGCAAATGCATAGAAGGGCTAGGTAGGCACATTAAAAAAGAGATGTTGGCTGATGGGAAGAAAATAGCAACTGGAAAGCTCATGCCTCATTTAAAGAAAATTGTGGTGTACCTTTAGCCTACCACTACCATGGGAAATGCTGGCCCCCTATTGTCAGATTCTTGATTTTGCAAGAAAACTGGAAAGTGTAGATTCTCTTCCAGGCCTCCCATTTCCTTCCAGCTACTACTACAAAGTAGCAGCTGCCCTCTTCAAAAGTGTACTCAAAAGAGTTGCCTACACTTCCTCACCTCCCCATTTATGCCTAGACCCTCTCCAGTCTGATCTATATCTCACTACCTAATAGAAGGCTGCTTTTGGCTGAGATCACCAGTAACCTATTTTGTGACTAAATCCAGTGCACACATGTTGGTCTCATGCTTGACTTTTTCAGCAGCATTTGGCATAAGTAGCACTGCCTTCTTGAAATAATCTGGCTTTTTGGTTTCCATGACCGTTCAGACTCAGTTTACTTTTGGCTTCTCAGATTCCCTTGCTCGTCTCTTCTGATCTCTGAATGCTGGAGTTTGTCAGGGTGTGCACGTGGTCTAACATCTCATCCTGCGTACATTGCCTCCCTGGGTGATAATACCTATTCCAAGATCTAAATGTCTGCCCTGTGCTAACAACTCCCTTTTTTATATCCCAGCCCAAACCACTTTCCAGAGCACAAGCCTGTAGATCTAACTACATGTGCAACATCTCGTAGTTGTCTCAAGTTTTCAGTCTGGAAGTACTCTTGACTGGAACACTGTCTCTAATCTGCTTTTCCTCCCATCTTTCACACTTCAGTAAGCAACACTTTTTCACTTGCCTGTGTCATAAACTTTTCAGTTCTCCCTAATGTCTCTCTCTTCCTAACCCGTGTCTAATCTCTTACTTAATTTTGTTGATTCTATCTCTAAAATAAGTCTTAATGCTGACCATTTCTTTACATTTCCAGTTTAGTTCAAGACACTCCAGCTTTCACTCTTACCCTGGTCAGGCATTCTTCACAGAGGGGCATTTTTTGCAAATTAGATTCTGCTTAGAGCCTATCATGTCAAGCAGTGCTTGACTGCTTACTATAAATCTAAAATCATTGACAACAAGGCCCCGTGTGTCCCAGTCCTGGTCTGCTTGCCCAGCCTTGTTTCAGCCTGTTGTGCCCCCACATGCTCTGTTCTTCAGACACACTGGCCTTCTCAAGTCCTTAAATATGCTTTGATCTTTCCTCCCTCAGGGTCTTTGCCCAGAAGGCTCCCTTTGCCTGGAGTGCTCTTATCTTAAATGTTATCTTAAATGTCAGTTCCCCAGAAAAGCCTTCCCAGATATATTAATCAACATGGTATCATTACACCTTCTACTTATATTTGCTTCCTGGCAGTGAATACAATTTGATTTTATTTCTTTTTAAACTGAGGCATACTGGGTCCACCTTCAGCTGCTGGAACTCGTTTTCCTCTCAACCATGTACCCCGACATCCGCCTGTGCCAGCACCTGTCTGCGCTCACCCTGCTCCCTGATCCAGGATCCAGGTGTGGTTCCAGAACAGGCATGCCAAGTCAGGGCATCACAGCTGGAAATACTTTCAACCTTCAGCCAGCTCAGAGCTTTGACTCCACCACTCTGTTCGTGAAACTGAAGCAAAATGATTGAAGTCCCAGCTGCCTTTTGAGATAATGTGAACTGCCCGCCGCATCTCAACAGGGTTGGAAAGGGCATCTCTGCCCTAGCTCTCAAGGTTAGAATTTTAAAACCTATTCTCTGTAGACACTGATTGAAAGCTGGGCTCATGAGAGGAACACATCTTTTCTGCCTTTGGGAACTCTTGAGGATTCTAGGCAAGTTCAGAATAAGCTCAGAGGAGCCATGACTGACAGCCAAGGAGACACAAATCAGAATTCTGTCCTTTCTGGCTTCTATATTAAGGCCACATCAAGGTCCTCCTTGATGAGGGCTTGCTGGTTCTCTGGCCTGTGAAGTTCCTTCACTTTTTGCTGGTGAACCTTTACTCTTGCTTAGTTCTTCTTTCTCTGCAGCACACTGCTCCCCCACCCCCTGTAATTGCGGCATTTATTTTGACCTGTGCACCTCTAGATCAGGACATTCAATTCGGTTTGAATTCCTACTCCCTCTTGCCAGTTCTCTTATTTTTTGGGTTGGTTTTTTAAAACTCATTATCTTCTTTGCAAGGACACTTCAGCTTGGCCCAGTTTTGCCTTGTGCTCGGCAGCTCCCTCCTTCCCGTGCTTCCTCCAAGATGGTATGCTTAACTTTCTCTAACCCATCTCCTTCATCCTCATCCTGTGCTCAGGAGTGACTGCTTTTTAATGCAGCCTGTCATCTTTACTTTCATTTATAGCTCCGGTTATTCTGTATCCGGATTATTTCAAGAGTCCTTGCCCCTAGCTTCTCAATTTTTTACAGATTACTGTCTTTAGAAATCTGTAGTAGCCTCCATTTGCTATCAAATGATGGAAACCTTTCCGTTCCTGTCCCAGACGACTAAATGATCTCTCTAGTAGCAGTGCAGTTTTGCAGATCTTATGGTCACCCGTGCACAACGTATGTCTGTCCCAGAGCCACTCCTTTCCATTTTGGAACCAAATGAATACCTTTCTCTTTCAAAACACTTGTGATCTCCACCCCGCCCCCTTCTGTAGTCTGAAACTTTCTGTAATCATGATTTTGTACCTGTTACTTCAGTCACTCCAACATTCCCCTTAGCTCTTGTTACTATACTTCTGTATAATGTTAGTGAAGTATTAAATGATTCCACAAATGAAAAATAAATAAAACTGAGTCATGATTTACGTATAGTAAAGTGCACAGGTGAGTTTTGGCAGATGAAAAGCCATGTAGCCATCACCATAGTTAGGATCCAGTAAGTTTCTGTGTGCCCTACTCCAGTTAGTTGATTACATATTTGCATGTTTATTGGTTAACTCCTTGTTACCCATTAATTAAGATGAAGCTAGAGAATTTCTCTTTTTTGTTGCCTGACCTCAGTGACCTCATCTCTGGTGAACTCATTATCTTTACTGTAAATAGCTTCCATCCCTCTGTTCCACTGAAAGCACACTAGCCATGATCACCAGCTTGTCACATTTGTTCCTTTGTCCTTCTTCTAGATGACCTTTCCTTGGCTGTAGTACCCAACATTCCCCCAGTTACCCATTTTCTGTGGCCACTTCAGTCTTCCTTACAAGCTTTTCCAAAATGTTGGCTTTCCTCAGATTTCTACAGTCTGCCCTCATACCACAAGCTCCTTGAACAAAATTAGGCTCTGAGTTGCCATCTTCGGAGGACTCCCAGGTCTTTGTTGCCGACCCATTTGGTCTTCCGGCTGTGATTGGAATTCTGCACTAGAATATCATGATACACCTCAAACTCAGCATGGTCCCAACTATACTGTTTTCTCCTAAAATGTTTCTTCCTGGGGCGCCTGGCTGGCTCAGTGGGTTAAGCCTCTGCCTTCAGCTCAGTTCACAATCTCAGGGTCATGGGATTGAGCCCCACATCGGGCTCTGCTCAAAAGGGAACCTGCTTACCCCCTCTCTCCCTGCCTGCCTCTGCCTACCTGTGATCTCTGTCAAATAAGTAAATAAAATCTTAAAAAGTAAAATGTTTCTTCCTCCATGTTCCATGCCTCTGGGAAAGGCATATCCATCCATCCAGTTGCTCAGCCAGACTCTGTCTTTGCCTCTTCTTCCCCTTTCTAGGCCAGCGGGGTTAGTCTTGTCCTAGCCCTTTCCTCTCCTCACTGGGTCTAGTGTTTGTCCAGTTCTCTTTAATCAGGTGTTCCTTTGGACTTAATTTATTAATCTCTTTCTTCTGTCTTAATGATGTTGGTCAAGAGGGGCTTTTTCACACACTTTTCCTTGTGAGAGTCTCTGGTCATATAGAGTGGTGGATTTTCAGTGACGCGTGGCTATTCTCTCTTTAACCTGAAAAATCACCTTAGTAAGTAAGCCGAACAATCTAAATAGACATTTTAGGAGTGTTGAGATAGTCTAGCATTTATATGTGGTATTTCTTTCATGTTTCTTAAAATCAGCATCAGCTCTATTGTGGCTCCTGTTGAATAGGCTTGTGCCTTCAGGGAGACCATACTCTAGTTGGTCTTGAATAGTGTTGGAGTGTGAGTAAGATTTTTAGTATGTGAGAAGAGCCCAAGAGATTTAAATTTAACATTTTAATTTTTTTCTGACTGTAAAATATTTGTGTTAATTATAGAAATCTTGAAATTTGGGGGCACCTGGGTAGCTCGTCAGTTGAGTATCTGACTCTTGATCTCAGCTGAGGTCTTGATTGCAAGGTTGTAAGCTCAAGCCCCACAATGAAAAAAAAAAATCTTGAAATTTGGAAGAATAATACATTTCTTTAAATCCTACTTCTTGGCAACCATTACTGACACTTAGATACATTTACATCCCATTGTGTTATATGCCATATGCCTGAAACATATGCATACAACATTCACACTGTATTTCATATAAAACTTTGTTTTCTTTTTTTTTTTCCCCTAAAGGTCCTATCATGAGCATTTTCCTAGGTCATAAGTTATTTTTTGAAAGCACAGATTTTAAATGGTTGCAGGAGAGTCTCAGTAGAGTATCTTTAACCATCCTCCATTTAATCCCTTGAGAATGATTATATTTTTTCTTTCTTAAATTTTACTTCCTTTTATTTAACTGAGATAGAATTGATATATAAGACTATTAGTTTTGGGTGTGCAGTGGTTATACTTTTTTACTCTCAGGACTAGTTCTGTGGTGGCTATTCTAGTTCAAGGAATTTTTTGTTTCAGATAAGAAAGAAATTCAGGTGAAGAATTTTCACCTGACTTAGAGCAATACAGACCAGATTTATAGCCAAAAAATAGCTGACTTTTGACTGCTAGGGTTAATCTGCTTTTGTGCAAAAAGTTACATGTTAGCCTGTGTATTCCTGATAGTTTCCTCACTGTAACATTCACATGTTAGAAGGGGGAGAAATTCTCTTTTGTGTTTTTCTTAGGTGGTTCGAGGACACTACAAAGGTCAGCAAATTGGCAAGGTGGTCCAGGTGTACAGAAAGAAGTATGTCATCTACATCAAGTGGGTGCAGTGTGAGGAAGCTAATGGTACAACTGTCCATGTGGGCATTCACCCGAGCAAGGTATGGCCTGGGACCGAGCAGTGGTTGCAGCTGTGTAGCTGCTTATAGAGGGAGGTCAGGCAGGCTTGATCAATTCTTTGGCCTAGTGATACCTTCAAGGACCCAGATTCTTTTCTTGTCTGTTTTGTCATCCTTGGTGAAGGCTGTGTTCGAGCCGGTTGCAAGAGGGTTCCAGGTATTGTGGGCATCACTTTGCTACTGGGTGATGTCCAGGGGGAGAAGAGAGACCATCTGTTCCTGTGGCCCTCATGCCCACCTGGTGGAATAGGCTGTTCTTCATTTGCACTCCTATTTCATGCACTGTATTATAGGGTCTTTCTCCTCCACTCTTTGAGGTAGGGGCCGAGTGGTGAGGGTCTTTCTTATCCTTATGGTCTATGATCCAGTAGCTGGTCAGAATGCAGAAGTTTAAAAAACAACATATTTTGCTGACCAAAGGATGATAGACGAACAAGAAACATGTTGGTAGTATAATTTTCCCAGCCTAAATAATATTTGATATCACTAAACTATCTTAACTGGTTCTCTTAGGAGTTAGGGGTAGGAGGGTGGGTAGCAGAAGGAACCCAAACTGCTATTGTTTGGAAAAGCTCTTCAGTAGAAAATAATTATAAATTCTTTCCTTAAAAAAAAAAATAAAGATCTGTTTTCTTACTCTAAAACAGGTGGTTATCACCAGGCTAAAGCTGGACAAAGATCGGAAAAAAATTCTTGAACGCAAAGCCAAATCTCGACAGGTTGGAAAAGAGAAAGGCAAATATAAGGAAGAACTTATTGAGAAAATGCAGGACTGAACATAACCTGTTGTGTGTTAGGGTCCGTGATCAAAGGAAGGAGACTGATACAAAGCGAAGGTCAAGCAAAGCTTTATTTCGCGCCAAGCATCAAGGATCAAACTGACCTGTCAGGGTTGTCTCTTACGAAAAGGTGATGACAATGACCCCGGCAAGTCCGCTCCCAACGTGGCTGCTCTGGACAAGGCCTTTCTGCAGATGAGGCCACTCCGGTCGAGGCCACTCCCAGGACGAGGCCGCAGCTGATGAGATCGCTCCTCAGACAGGGCTGCTCCCCGGAATGGCTGCTCCCCGGACAGGGGCTGCTCCGGCGAGGCCGCTCCCCGGACAAGGCTGCTCCCAAAAAGAGGCCACTCTGGAGGAAACCTCTTCCCTGACGAAACCGCTTGCCGGAATGTGGAGCTGGTTGTGGCTCAGGGTGTCAAGGCCGCTCCTGGGGGCGAGGCCGTTTGCGGCGAGGTTGCTGGAGTCTAGGCCATTCCCCGTATCCACTGCCAAGGCCGCGGTGTGTGGGCGGGGCCGCTGGCGTTTCGGGGCCCCTGGCGGCTCTTCTAGCTCTTACAAGAGCTATTACAACTCTCTCAGCTCTTACAAGAGCTGTTACAGCTCTTTCTTCTGCTCCCGCAGGCTCTCCTTCTTCTGCTCCTTCTTCCTTCTTCCTCTGACAGCTCTCCTTCTGCCTTCCGCCAGCCTCGCATACCAACCTTTATGGGGGTGGTTGAGCCCCACCCCTACGCTGGTAGCCAATTGAATCCCAATTTACCCAGTGGATATATGCATGCCCCACCGATTGGATGTCTCCTCCCGGCCTGCCCCGCCCCTACTTCCGGGGTCAACAAGCTAGTTCCTCTGGGAGGGGCAGGCCCTTATATTGTGCAAGCATGGTTTACCTGTAGACCTTTAGCCTGGTGTGTGTTCCTTTGAGACTTTTCAAGATGTCTGCCAAACATTTCCTCTTCCTGTTTTGCTGTTGATAATGTAGCTTTGTAAATCCGCTTTTGCTGTTTTGATTAATAATTTTTATGAATAACAGTTGAAAAGGTTTCTTAATTCCAAGGGGAATTTGCATTGTTTTATAGATAAAATTCATTTTACTATAAATCCCTTGTTGCCATTCTTTCCTATGTTTAATGTACTGAGCAGCAGAATAGCAGTGGTAGGATGGCTCTCTCCTCATGCTGGGACCCTCATGCTGATGGGGTGGATAGGACAGGGCTCTGGTCCCTAATTCAGGGGTTTGTCCCACTCGGAGGTAGTCATGATGTGAACTGGCACATACAAGACGTCACTGAGTGGCTGGTGCTGCTCTGCACACCTGTCTCAAGTCTGATGGATTACTCCCTGGACCCTTGCCTCTCCCTTGTGCTCCAGCCCAACCAAATGGCATGCATCTCCCTGACCAGGTTGCCCTTCCCAAGGTCTTGACTTTGCAAGTGTGTTTCCAAATGACTGAAACGCCCTTCCTCTCACCTGGAGCTAGCCAAGGAAACTGACGACAGCCTGGAGTCCAGCAAGATTTGGTTCACAGGCAGATTGTCCTTCTGTTTTCATAATTTTACTAGGTCGGTTGCCAACATTTAAAAGTTCCGGGATTTCACAGAGAAATCCAGATCTTGTTTCATCCAGTTACATGGGGCCCTGATCTGATACAGTATCCATTGCGTGGAGCTCAGAGGCTGGCTGCTCCCCATCCAGTCTGCACCATTTGTGTCCCCAACTTGCCAGGCCCCCACTTGGCATCTTGAATTTTAGGCTCCAGATCGAACTGCAACCACCCTAACATGAGTTCGCTACTTAGGGAATTAGAGAGACTACACCAGGTGTTGTTATACAAAGGAAAGTTTATTTGCAGCAAATAAGATCACAGGGAATAGCTTCCAAGTCCATGACTCCTCAAGTAGGGGTGAATAGTAGGTTTTTTTGTTGTTGTTTTTTTTTGGGGGGGTTACGATGAATATTCAGAAAGGGGAGTTTCTTCATTATACGTAGAGGTGGGCATAAGGTTGTGCACATGTTTTAAGGAAACATGCCTATGTAAGCATTGTATGTTATATTAATGACGTTCTCCTTGGGTGGGGATTTTAACATTATAATGAAGCAGAAGTAACTGTTGGGCAAGGGGAAGGGCTATGGGCAAGCTCTGAGAGCCAATATAAACTGGTTTGGGTCTTGGGCTCCTTATCTGAGGGGAATGAAGGGCCTTGCTTACCTTTGAAACAGCCCTGGGAGTTTTGCCCCTGATTTCTTTCTTTCTTTTTTTTTTTAAGATTTTATTTATTTGACAGAGAGAAATCACAAGTAGACAGAGAGGCAGGTAGAGAGAGAGGAAGGGAAGCAGGCTCCCCCGCTGAGCAGGGACTCAATCCCAGGACCCTGCGATCATGACCCGAGCCAAAGACAGTGGCCTAATCCACTGAGCCACCCAGGTGCCCTGATTTATTATTTCTGATATGGTTAGGCCATTTCCTGGCTTACTAGAATCTATTTTTGCATTCTCTTTGTTCCCTTAAAATCCTTAACTGTTGAGGTTTTGTTTTTCTCTGTAATTCTGACACCTCCTAGGAAGTTCTGCAAGAAGCATGCTAGAGCTAGAGCCAGTGAGGCTTAGGTCATGGAAAATAGCTGGGCCTTAAATGACTTCTTTTTGTTTTCCTGGGGACCCCTAACTCTCTGCTTACGTAACTTCTAGTTACTGTTCAGGATTTAGCTCCAGACCCACATCCAAAATCCTCCCCTGGGGCACCTGGGTGGCTCATTCGGGTAAGTGTCTGACTCTTGATCTCAGCTCAGGTCTCAGACTCAAGGTTGTGAGTTCAAGCCCCACAGTGGGCTCCACACTGGGCTTGGAGGCTACTCAAAGCAAAAAAGAAAAAAAAAAAGTAAATAAAATCCTCCCTTGCTTCAGTGATAAATTATTGATCAAAATTCATAAATGATGAAAATGCATAAAATTATAAAATGGCTTTTATGGCTCTCTAGTGGCCTGACACATTGGAGTTTCTTAGTAAATGTTGATTGAGTCTGTTATTTCCCATTTTGCCTGATGAAGAAAAACGAATTTAGATTAATTGTCCAGATTCCAGAGGACACAAGAAATAAGAGTCAAGATTTGAACCCCGGCCTGACTGCATCAAAGACCACCCAAATCTCACTTTAGCCATCTATCTCTGGTATTCCTTCTTTTACCCTTTCAGCCCTGTTCTGGAGTCTGGCAAGAGGCTGGCCATCTGTGGGCAGCAAGAAGAACCTATATATTTGCAGCAGTAGGGCTGCTTAGAAAAGCATTGTCACCATCTCTGCCACAGGATAGTCATGGCCTTTGCACAAGTTAACTTCCTCTGACCTTCCGTTCTCCCACAAGTAAATCAAACAATTAATACCTGTGCTGCCTTGCTGTCTCATGGAAAATGGCAGGATCAAATCTGCTCTTTCTGAGGACTGAGAAGTCTGAGTGTATAAATCCTAATATTGCTATTGTTTACTGGTATTTCCAATTCTGACATGCATTTTGTATGAATGAAGTATGAAAGAAGTAATAATTTTGATGCTGAAAGAAGTAATAATTTTTGATGCTGAAAGAAGTAATAATTTTTCACACACACAATCAATGGAATCATAAACCACAAAGTTCAGATTGAATGCAGAAGCATTATTAAGAATCCATTTGTCTTAACCATAAGAGACTCTTTCTCTGATTTTGGGGCATTGATGTAAGAGGCATTCAATCTGTTGCCACAGATCGGGGAAAGCATAGGAAGAAAATACAGTTTTACACAGATTGTTAGTTAGAACAGAGAGGTCCTTACAGACCTGCTGGGAGAGTTCCAGGGACTCCCCTGGGGTGCTTGAGCCATACTGACATTTCCTGAAGTGGACTTTAAGTGCCTTGAAGGCAGAGAATATTTCTTCATTTGGTGGGTTACTGAATCTTAGGTCCTGGCCTTGGACACCAGTTTTTATTTGGAATGTGTGATAAAATAAATTGACTGATAGAGGGAGCTATTGGCCAGTACTAGCCCACATCTATAATACCAAGATAGGGAACTTTCTCATTTCAGAGAGGATGAAACAGATTTACACAAAACTGATGTATGAATGGCCACATCCCTGTGCTCCCCAACACCTGGTTTTTAAAGAAGTTGCCAAGAAGGTGATGCAAAGGTTAGACTTATTGGGGTCACTTAAAAGTAAATATTTGCCTTTATTTAAGAGATAGGAAAAAATCTATAATAGCTAAAGCTATAAATGGGAGCAACTCAAATATCCATCTTCAGATGGGAATGTAGAAACAAAATATGGCATACACATACAGTAGAATATTATTCAACCTTAAGAAGGAAAGAAATGCTGACACACGCTACAACATGGATCAAGCCTGAGGATATTATGCTAAGTGAATCAAGGCAGTCACAAAAAGAAAAATATTGTATGATTCCACTTATATCCGGTATCTAGAGTAGTCAAACTTGACAGGAGGTAGGGTCGGGATTGCCAAGGGTTAGGGGAAGGGAGAATAGGGAGTTGTTTTATGGGTATGAAAAAGTTCTGGAGATTGGGTACACAACAATGTGAATGTACTTAAAGCTACAGGCCTTTACACTTCATGGCTAAGATGGTCATGATATTTTACCACAATTAAAAACAAATTAAGAAAAAACTAAGAGAAAGGAGTAGACTTTTTCCTCTTAGTTCGGGGCTGACCTCGCCCTTTCTTAATTACGCATTTCGGTTACAGGTGTTTATTGAGTACATTCTATATCTAAGGACTGCTGAGGAGCACGGACCAGTTAAACAGTGCCCGTCGTCAAGGAGGTAGCCTCCAGCGGAGAGTTGGTTAAGATGAGTGGCCACAAGAGACACACTAACATAATGAACTAGGTCTTGGAGAAGGCAGTGCTCGCACTGGAACTTAAAGACAGTAGACTTCCTGCTTAGGCTGCTTTGGGGAAGCAGTATGAACACAAAGATAACCATCTTGTTTCCTATATAACTGGCCAGGTGACAGTTTGGAATTCTGTTTGAAGAATTGGTACAGATGTTTAAGGTTATTGGTCCAACTTCCCATTTAATCCAGGAATCATTCTGCTTAAGGAAGAAAAAAATCAGGAGGTAACTCGAAGGATACATGCATATTGCTCAGACACTATGGTCCATACGTAAAGTACACGGGATTTCTGGAGGGGCGGAGGAGCTGGGTCCTGCGCGCGGGTCACGTGGGGGCGCGGGAGGCGGGTCTTTGCGCACGCTGGTCACGCGGCCTGGTGTTGACACTTCCGGGTGGGACCAAAGTGAGGCGGCTGGGCAGGGGCTGCTATCTCCGGCGGCAACCATGGCGTATAACGGCCTCACTGTGCCTCTCATCGTGATGAGCGTGTTCTGGGGCTTCGTCGGCTTCTGCGTGCCCTGGTTTATCCCTAAGGGTCCCAACAGGGGGTAAGTACGCCAGGTTCGCCTTGGGAGGAACGCGCGATGGGGACCGGCCGGGCCGAGCGGGGGAGGGGGGCGACCTGCACCGGTCGCAGACCTTGCGGGGCCGCCCCAGACTGCAGAGTCAGGCCCGAACTCCTGCAGCCCCCCGACTTCTTACCGCGGCAGCTTCAGGGTTCCCTGATCCGAGGGTGACTTCCGACGAACCCTCCTTGGGACGGGGTTGCAGGGGATTTTTTTTTTCTCATCACGGGGCTTGTTTGGGGAGGGTGCATCAGAAATGGGTTTATACCGACTCCGGGAGAAGTTGTGGTTTGCCCCTGGACGACTTTCGCCCCTTTAGCCCTGCCCTCCACTCAGATGAGGCCTATAAAGGATCAAATGAAACAAATTGCCCTGTTTGCCTCACATGTTGTCGCCGTTGCACAGGACACAAGCTTGTGCAGCAGCGTGGAGCCTAGGCCTTGCATCTAGTGGGCCCCAGGTAATGAGGGCCTGATCTAAAGAGAGATTAGTGGCCAAAGAGCAGGAGGTGTTGTTTAGAAACCCCTGCGTCATACCTTTTGGAGGGCGCTCCTGCGCTTGTGTGTGAGTGTACCAACTTCTCAGAATGATTGACTAAGACTTTTCCCTTGGACTTTTTTGTTAAATAGAGCTTTTTCTATTTTGTAAGT